TTTAGGGTTCAGCGTTTAGGGTTCTACGGGTTTGAAGAATTACCAACGTTATTCTTGGCTCCCTAACAGGTATTATATGATGTTAACGCTACTATACCATGTTATATTATGTTTTTTTTGTCTTGTATTGTATCGTATCCTATTGCCTTGTGTTATATTGAATAATACTATTGCGCATTTTATCATATCATGTTATAGTCTATTGTGCATGCTAGTCTATTGTGCGCTCAAACCTTGATAAACCCTTATAGCAATTAATCAAGAACCGCTTAAAAGGAACCCTGCTCTTATAATGAAGGCCCTGACGTAGATTACACAAGAGCAGGAAAACCCTAAACCCAAAACCCTCAACCCTATTCCTATTTATGAAGTCCCCTATATGGGTAGTGCTCCTTGAGGTCCCCAACATTGGTCTAACAAACATCCTAAAAGGGACCTAACAACAGACCCCGGGTTCCTGCATCCCCTTCTAGAACCCTTCAGAGGAACCCCTAAACCCGAAGCCGCAAGCCCCAAACCCTAAACCCCAAAGCCTAAACCCTAAACCCTAAGCCCCAAACCTTGAACCCTACACCCTAAACCTTATTCTAATTAGGAAGGCCCCTCTATTACACCGGAGCAGGAGGCGCCTGGGTGCAGAAGCTGTTTGCGGAGCCCCTCTTACACTGCGAGGAGCCTTTGGGGAGTCAAGGAGTCTCGGGTTTAGGCTTTAGGGTTTAGGGTCTAGGGTTGTTTAGGGTTCAGGGTTAAGGGGTTTAGGGTTTAGGGTCTAGGGTTTAGGGTTTTCGGAGCCTAGGGTTTAGGAGTCTGGGAGGCTAGGAGTTTAGGAGTTAGAGGGGGTTGGGGCTTGGGGTTGAGGGAGTTACGGAGTTTCGGGAGTCAAGGGTTGAGGGTATAGGCTTTAGGGTGTAAACCTTAGGGTTTAGGGTCTAGGGTTGAGGGCGTGGGGTTTAGGTCAGATCTTTCTGTTTGAGGATTTAGGTTTGGGCAGGACTACCGTGACTACGGGCATTGCTCTTAGACTCGCTTCAACAAGAAGGATCGGCAATAATGGCAGTATTTGCATGACTCAAGGAATTTTTGGCAGATTACCAATCCTTGATGTCACTTTGAACGAATTTCGGGATTAGCAGCTCGTCCCGCGCCCTGAGGTGCCGGAGTTCTGGGATGTCTTCGTTTCACCAACAAGCCCGAAAGTGCCGCTGTGACTACTACTTTTGCGCATGTTTTTGCGTTGCTATCACGGTCCGAACTACGTGTACAGCAGAGATTTTCATCATGGCAATCCGAAATTCTAAACCATGGCGTCCCCACTTCTTGAGGACAACTCAAACTTCAACCGGGCCACTCGGTGCGAGTCGTTAGCTGACCATTGCCTGGAGCTAAACCCTTCGAGACTGCAAGGTTTGGATCTGTTCAGGATTTACTTGTGGGTTTAGGGTTTCGGATTTATTTGGCGGTTTAGGGTTTATTTGGGTTTAGGGTTTAGGGGGTTCTAGAGTTTGGGATTGGGTATGTCATTGCCCTCTGTAGGATTGCGGATTACTGGCTTCGGCCGAGCCGCTTCAGCCTGTTTGGCGGAATCCCGAAAGCTGACCCGGGTTTAGGGTGTAGGGATTGTAATAAGTATGCCGCTAGGAAATTTGACAGCCCTTGGAGAGTCCGAGGATGCCGAAGCAGTGGTGCTGGTGGCGGTGGCCATGGTGGGGAGGTGGAGGTGAAATGGTAATGGTGGTAGAGGGCTGGTGGTAGTACCAGTACCAGCAGAACCGGCAGCAACAGGAGGAGTAGTAGTAGCAGTAGCAGGAGTAGTAGCAGTAGCAGCAGCAGCAGCAGCAGCAGCAGCAGTAGCCGTAGCACCAGTACAAGTATTGGTCGCAGCGACAGTAGATGGAGTATTAGGAGTAGTGCTAGTAACTAGTATTTGGGGGTACTATAGTTACTATAGGAATCGGAGTAGGAGAAGTAGAGTACCAGCAGGAGTAGGAGTAGGAGCATGAGGAGGACGAGGAGGAGGGAGGGCGAAGTGGAGTGGCAGTGGCAGGAAGAGCAGCAGCGCAGCAAGACTGACTTTGAGTTGCTACTGCAGGCGTCATGAGTTGCAGTAATCGGAACAGTCATCTAGATTGTGATAATGAGGACGTTGAAAGGATACGATACTTCGGAGCACATGGCCAAGGGCAGTGATATGGTAGTATCCGTCACATGATGATGCCGATGAGGTCGTTAAAGTCTTTGACGGGCGCGAAATCTTCGTGAAGCGACTGATTTGCTTGTCCGCGGGGACGAATGTGACTCGCCAGCCACGGCATAGAGCTTGGGGTTTATGGCCACTCCCTAAGCCCTGGACCCCTACACCCTCAACCCTAAACCCTAAACCCTAAACCCTAAACCCTAAACCCTAAACCCTAAACCCTCAACCCTAAACCCCTGAGCCCCAAACCCTACACCCAAGTCCATAAACCCGAGCCCCAAAGACAACCCACTGAAGCCCTGATCTCCAAGGTTCAACCTGCTTTCGACTCTCTTACGTTACACCATTTTTAGAGTTTGCACATTATTATTGTTATTATTGTTACACTTAGTCTTAACATTGATATTTCCCGGTATTTTTCGCATTATTGTTATTGTTAATTATTCATGCTATTGCTACTGGTATCTGATAGCTTATTGGCTTACTTCTTATTACCATGGTTATTATCTTTGTTACGACTATTATTACTATTGTGAGTATGACTTGTGTTGTTTCTTGCGAATGTGTGATATTGTTTATCTCGTGCACCATGTAGAAGCCGAATTCTGGCTTTTGCCTTAAACCCCAAACCCTAAACCCTAAAACCTAAACCCTCCATCCGAAGAAGACCACGCGAGCCAAAGTTGTTTAGGGTCCTTAGGGTTTTGGTTTAGGCTTCTTACGGTTTAGGGTTCACGGTGTAGGGTTTTGGGTTTAAGGCTTCTTAGGGTTTAGGGTTTAGGGCTTCTTAGGGTTTAGGGTTTATCCTTGCCAAAGAGGTTGAAAGGGTTCTGTAGCGCTTATAAGTACCTTGATCTTTGGTATAGCCAGTTCTGCGTATAATTACTGTCTTGATTACGAACTCCCATGATCCTTGAAGTATCCAGGAAGTTCAGACTTCTTGCTGAAGGTAGGGCGAACGCCATGAAATTCCGAACCTCGACGTGGGATTGCTAAAGTGCCGTGTTTCAAAATCTACTATACGCAACCAAAGCATACGAAATCCCAAACCCAATCCGCCAAACATGTAAAATGTGTTCGCGTGCCTATCATCTCACCGTTTGTTCAAGTGGAAGACAGTTCAGAGCCCTTGTCTTTACTCAAGCCCTTGCATATTTGAGATTATAGTATCAAGAGCTACAGGCATCCCAACTTCTCCAGAGTCTCTACCATTGTAAAGGCCTGCACAACCACGCTTTAGGGTTTGGAGTTTCGATTCGGGCCCTAAAATCCAATATGAGCCCTAAATCCTAAACCATAAACTGTACAAGCAGGTATTTCCGAAAGACATGCATGCCGCAAGCTGCAAGCCTACATAACCTTGACCATCAAAGTTTCACCCCAACACAGCACTCCCCAATGATCCAGAGTAACCCTGAAAGTCACTGGATCGCCATAAACAAGAAGCCCTAGAGCTCTAAACCCCAAGAACCTGAAGCTTTCAGCCCCAAATCCCTACACTCCAAAACCCTCAACCCTAAACCCTAAACCTCAAAAAGCCTAAACCCTAAATCCTTAAACCCCAAAAACCTAAAACCAATGTCACACCCTAAACTCTGAATCCTTAAACCCTAAACCCTAAACCCTAAAACCCAAACTCTAAATCCCTAGACCCGAAAACCCTCAACCCAAAGAGCGAAACCCTTCAACCTAAACCCTAAGCCTAACCCTTATGGTTTAGGGTCTAGGGGTTTTGGG